TAATCTCCAAATGGCCAGCTTCGGAAAGAGCCCTGAACCCGAAGCCCTACTTCGGAGCTCTTTTTGACCAAGTCAGCCTTCTTAGTATCCCCTGGAAACCCTCTAATCATCCCCCCATAACCCTGAGCTAAGTCAAAAGGGCTTCCAAGGAGACACCCCCCCCCCCCTGAGAGGAGACGCTGCACCGAAAACCCTAGACCCGAAGCCGCAAACGCAGAATTTATTTCAGCGCCCAAAATAGAGCGAGGACCTAGGGCATCGGCACAAGTGGTGCTTTTAATATGGGAGAGTAGGGTGAGTATAGGTATGGACAATCCCTTCCCCGAAGTAGTACTTTAGGAGGCCTACAAGGAGGGGCCCCCTTACTATATCCCACAGCCTCTTGTCAACCAAAACCCTAAACCCTAAGCCCTAAACCCTAAACCCTCAACCCTAAACCCTTATCCTCCGGGCAGAAAAACTGAGGCCTGCCAACGGCAGCCTGGACATCCCTCTAGAGGCGGTTTTTTCCCTTAGGTGCTGGATGGGTCCCCCTTACATCCTTAATAGGGTTTAGGGTTTAGGGCTTAGGGTTGGGATGTTCCCCCTTATACTAACAGTCCTTAACAGGGATTATAGTACTCTCTTTCACAATTCCCATGAAGGACTGTTAGTATAATTGGAAACATCCCAATTGCGGGGTCGCACAAAGAAAACCCCCTTAAAACCTAACGGACCCAAAGCTGAGCCCTTTTTTCTTCAAGGGAGCTCAGCACCTAAGTTTGGGAGGCTTGTTGAGGCTTGAGAACGTCTGCTAGGATTCTGGGGGTGTAGGTGCTAAGTCAGGGTTAAGGGTTCGTCTGGGACCCAAACCCGAACCTTAAACCCTACATTAAACACTAAACCCTAAACCCTAAAACCCTCAACCCTACACCCTACACCCTAAACCCTAAACCCTACATAAACCCTACACTAACATTTCTTGGATGTTGGCTCGTGCTTGGATCGATGACAAGAAACGACCAAAAGCCTTTGTTCAAATTGAAGACAAGGATTTAGGGGTACTACTAATGCCATCTTGCCATCTGCATCTGCTTCGGCTTCGATTCCACCACGTACCGTGGCAGTCAACTAAACTAGGATTCTATGGTGATTTCTTTGCATGATGGTCCTTTTGGGGGGTCCTTATTATGAGGCGGCCTATCTTATTTAGGGTACCCAAAAGAAGGGACCCTAATCTGGAGACCTCACCATATAGTAGGTCATGAGATGTCCTACTCATGGTAAATACATGTGAGGGGCAGCACCATCCAAACCCTGAACCCTAAACCTTAAACCCTAAACCCTAAACCTTAAACCCTAAACACTAAACCCTAAACCTAAACCCCAAACCTGTCTGCACAGATGGTGGCCCGCCTGGAGCACCTGGTTGAGCTGGCTGAGCCTCGACATGTGTTTCGGAACCCTAAGCCCTAAACCCCAAACCCTAAACCACAAACCCCAAACCCCAAACCCTAAACCCTAAACCCTAAACCCCAAACCCTCAACCCTAAACCCCAAACCCCAAACCCTAAGCTAACGAAACGCCTCTGTTTGTGTGGCAGCCCTCAGCCCCCAAAACCCTAAACCCTATGTGGCACCAAAGGAAGAAGTGACAACGCCCCATGATTTAGGATTTAGGATTAGGAGTTTAGGGTTTAGGGTAAGACGCTCAACCCCCAGGCCTAATTTTGTTTCGTGGCGGGTTAACACCCCGAAATACTTAAGTCCTAAGGTGCTAAGGGTTTAGGGTGTGGCATAGGGACCCTACAGCCCTTAATCCCCTGCTTCCCCCCTCCTCCCTCAACCCCACTAAGCGTTGTGAGCTCCACATCCCGGTAACTCGGGGGCCCTGCTCAAACCGTTTTCTGGTACAAGGACCCTCCCGAAAACCCCTCGGAAACTCAAAGCCCAATAAGAACAAACCCCTAACCTCTAAACCTCTATTAGCCCCTGAGCTCCCTAAGCCTCTAAAAGCGCAAAGCCCCTAAACCCTAAGCAGTTTCGGCCCTAACCCTAAACAACCCTAAATCCTAAACCCAGAGGCACCTAACCCACCCTAAACCCTATAGGCCCTAAACCACCCAGAGCCTTGGAGGACCGGGTGGAATCAAAGAGAAGGCCACAACCTGCGCGTTGTTTGGGGGGGAGGGGGGGTTAGGGATTCAGGATTGAGTGTTTAGTGTGTAGGGTGTGCCCCCAAGCCCAAAACCCAAGTCCCACATTTTTGGGGTATTTAAGGCTTAAGGGTTCAATGGGGATCCGTTGGGGCTTAGGGTGAGGGGAGGGGCGGGGGGTGGGGGCACCGTGAAAACCGATGAGTACGAGGGTTTAGGGTTTTGGGTGCCTGTAGCCATAAGCACTGCAGGGCTGTTTTTTGAGGGATCGTAGGGTATGATCACACATCTGGGCTGCTTTGTTGGGCATCAACTGTCGGAGTAGTTCAGTGGCTCCACCAGTAGCACCATCATGGAATCAGATACTCCAAATCCCATTCTGCATTGGGCTTTGAGGCACCTAGTCTCGGAAAAGTGCATTTTACGTCCCGCCATTGCTTGGCTCTGGGAGCCTGATTGTGACACATTTGTCGGTGCTTGACACAAACCCGAAACCCTAACCCTAAGCCCGAAGCCCCAAACCTGATTGGGAGAGCCTTTTTTCGGGTTGAGAGCCATCCCAAGGGAGTGTTTAGCGCCTCCGTCCGTGGAGGGGCATCCAGGCCAGTCAACTCTTGGGATGCTATACTACCTGCGGTTTAGGAGTTTGCAGTAAACTCCAGAAAGTTGGAGCATGTTTTAAGGATGATTAGAGCTGGGATTCCCTTTTTTATACCTTTTCGGGATGGGGATAAAGATGTTCCAGCTTCTTGGAGTGTACTGTAGGTTTGGGGGGTTAGGGTTCTTTGATCCCAAGTGGAACTCCTGCACCCGCTGTGCCTGCAATCGCAGGCTTCGTAGCCGCCTGGTTCGAGAGCACACGCCGTTGTCAGGCGGGCAGCGCGGGCGGCAGTTTTTGGAGCCTTTGGGTAGGGTTTGGGGCTGGTGATTGTTGCTTGTGCGGGGCTTAGTTTAAAGAGAATGCAGGACTCAGGCGAGGCACTTAAGCGCCTAAGGTCCTGCGATCCGAAGCCTCGTTTGGGAAGTTTCAGTGGTTAGCAGGAGTGCTGTCGACTTTGATGTGGACTAGCTGTGTCTATCCAAGGACCCAAGAGTAGCGATATAGAGGTCGGAATCATGACTAGTAATACTCCCTTATGGTTCCATTATAACTGTACTTTGATACCCCCCCCCCAAAAAAAAAAACCTGTTCTAATTGTTTTAGGCCCTATGGTACTCGTAGTTTGCTTGAGGTTTTGGCATGCCTTCCCTTCCGTTTTTGGGGTCCTGGTCCGGGTTTGGTAATATACATCTTAGTTAAACTCTCAGTCTAAGTCCCAATTTGGTGAGTTCTCTAAATTAGGGTCCCTTTTTCGGTACCCTACAAAACAGGGGCCGCCTTATAGTAAGGACCTACAAAGGGACCATCTTTTAGAGAAGTAACCATTTAGGGTTTGGGGTTTAGGGTTCAGGGTTTATAGGGTTTAGGGTTTAGGGTTTAGGGTAGGGTTTAGGGTTTGCTGTGATAGGGCGTAGATGCTGTGAAGGTTTGGATGCAGCAGCGGCTCGAATGCCTCGTCAGGTGCGAAGAGCGGTTCTGGCCCGATTGTGGAGGGCCATCTAATACTTGTCTCCCACCCCATGCCGTCTGAGGCGGCAAAACCACCCAAACCTATTCCTTTTAGGGTTTAATTAGGGCTAAGCTCATGACACTCGCTTACTTTCAAAAAAAACCTTTCCGTCACCGATGGCCACTTTCAGCCAAGGGAAAGGTTTGAGGCTAGATTCTCAGCTGCGTGGGGAAGGAGAGGTTTTAGAGGTTTGCAGGGTCAGGAGGAGGGGGCTAAAGGGGGGCCAGGGGAGGGGGGGCCGGGGGGGGCCGAGGGGGGCCAGGGGGGCCAGGTTAAGGGGGGGGGGCAGGGGGCCGCAGCGCTTAAGCGCCGCCCCCCTTCTGTAGGGGGGCGGCCTAGGCCCTGAGTTTAGGGTCTAGGGTTTAGGGTTTCAGTCTGTTCCAACAACGAAATCAGAATTCTGGAAGCCTCCTGAATCCTTGGGAAGGCGTTAGCCTTGAACCAGAGCCTCTTCTCCTGGAGGCCTTTGCGGCTGAGGGTTCAGGGTTGAGGGTTTCGGGTTCAGGGTTTATGGTTTAGGGATTAGGGCCTAGGGGAATTCAGCGGTTTTTGCCGTTGAGGGGCTTCCTTGGTTGAAGCAGTCTTGATGTCACTTCGCTTAGTAGCCCCAGGGTTTCGTGCTTAGGTTTGAGGGTGCTTAAGTTTCCTGCCTTTGATCAATGGGGGCATGGGGGGGGGCCTCAATATTGGGCTCTAGATCATCTACCATCATCAACTTCTTCAAAAGTGCACAGTCTAGTTCAATGTGCCCCCGCACTAGGTGTGCCAATGCACCTCGTTCGAGATTTAGGGCGTAGGGTTTAGGGTTGCTGTAGTAGTGCTAAGATTATGCGAGACACGTGGCAGCCGCGGTCATCAAGCGAGAGGCCACGCACACACGAGACTTTGCAACCTCCGTGCTCAACCGGCAAGCAATTCTTCCCCCCCGAATCCTAAACCCTGAACCCTGAACCCTAGTCCCCGGCACACCAAACACCACGCTCCTCACCCCCCAAAGCCCTTTTTCAGCCAAACCCCTCTATGCCCCTTTTAATGCCCTGAACCCTTCTGAAGCCCTAATATGGCCCTAAACCCGAAAGAAAGCTTTACAAAGTCCCTAAACACCCTGAGGAGCTTTAAAAGCCCTGTATCCTTAATAAACCTGAAACACTGGAGCCTCAATATGCCCTAAACCCTAAACCCCAAACCTTACACCTCAAGCAAACAATTCCAAACGCTGATCCAGTCCTTGCGTCCGGGGGATCGGCCGACCGCCATGGCAAAGGTCGGCTGGGGCATCATCGGCTGTGGGGCCGCTTGGTGAGGCGTATAGGGTTTAGGGTTTCGGGTTTAGAGGTGTAAGTTTTTTGTGGGATGAGTTCTTGACCCCATGTCCCATCTGCCGAGCATTTTTTCACGGAACGGTAACGGCCGTGCTTAGGGTTCGAGACTCTAGGAGATTTTCAGGACACCGGCTGCCAGTCATTGAGAACCCCGAACCCCCTAACCCTAACCCGTCTTATCCGACCGATCCGACCCATCAATTTCCCTCCCTAGCTTTCTTGGTCTAGGATTGGTGGCCACAAGATCAACCCTATGACCTCAAACTTACGACCCTTTTCAGCGCGAAGAGCCGGTCACCTCAAAAGCTCCTGGACCGCTACATCCCTAAACCCCGAACCCTGAACCCTAACCCCCTAAACCCTAAACCCTAAGCCCAACCCTAAACCGTAAACCCTAAACCCTAAACCCTAAGCCCTAAACCCTAAACCCTAAACCCTAAACCCTAAACCCTGAACCCTGAACCCTGAACCCTGAACCCTGAACCCTGAACCCTGAACCCTGAACCCTAAACCCTAAACCCTAAACCCTAAACCCAAGCCCAGGATGTCACGGAGGTGAAGAGTGGTCCGGCATTTCAATCTGCCCGGGGCGCTGAACTCGTGGCTGTCGTCTGCCAGGGTTTAGGGTTTGGGGTTCAGGGTTTGGGGTTTAGGGTTTGGGGTTTAGGGTTTAGGGTTTGGGGTTTAGGGTTTAGGGTTTGGGGTTTAGGGTTTGGGGTATAGGGTTTAGGGTTTTTTGGGATTCAGAGCTCCAGAGTCCACAAAAGGTTGCGCAAGCCCAGGTCATGCGTCGCGACGCCGAGAAGGCGAAAGACTACGCGAAGCGGCATGGGGTGGCAAGGTGGTACACTACGGTCGAGGACGTGAAGCAGGGTTTAGGGTTTAGGGTTTAGGATTTCTATTCCCTGGGTTTTGGAGTACTATGCTTTAATACTTGTTTTTGTTCTGGGTTCCTATGTTAGCCACTTATACCTAAAAAGTGTATATATTTGTCCAGGGTCTACTCCAAAGCAGGGTTGCTGTTATTGGTGAGTGAATTTAAGGTTCCTTTTCAATATTGGTGAGTGTATGTACTGGGTGTCCTTTTGGGGATACAAGGAATGCATAAGACAACCCATGGGCATGGACAGATGGCTAGAGGAGGAGCTAGGGTTGAGGCTGCTCTCCTTCCCTTAGTCCGTCCCCCGCTTAAGCCCCCCCACCCCCACCACCCTTGGCGCGCGTAAAATGGAGCACATGCAGATGCCGAATGGAACAAGAACCTTGAGCAGGAGAAGTGCTGTCCACATTGCACGGTAGTCGCATCTGCAGGATCTTCTGGCAGATCCCAATGTGACGCTTGGTGACAACTAGGGATTCACCAAAGCGGAAGGGGAAGCCGAGAACTCCCTAAACCCAAAACCCTACACCCTGAACCCTAAACCCTAAACCGCAGATCATGGCTACCGGGACGAACATCTTTAGGCAGCTTTGGTGGGGGAGTGAGCTTGCATGAAGACAGGTCCGCATCTGAAATTGCAGTCCAGCCAACACTCAAAGTCAATCCGAGATCGACTCCTGCAGCAGATTCCGGTTGCCGGGCTTTTTGGGGCCCTCAACCCTATAAGGCCGAATGAAACCCTGCCATTTTGAAAGCGCCAAGCCCTACACCTTGGGATGTTCCCCCTCATACTAACAGTCATGAATAGGCATGAACATATGGGGGGGGGATACTATAATCCATATTAAGGACTGTTAGTATAAGGGAGGAACCTCCCAACCTACACCTGAAAACCCTCGGGAAGAGTGCGCTGCGAGGACTGCCGTGTACATTGCGACGCCGCCGGGCTCGAGGCTCGAGATCGCCAAGAAGGTGGCCGCCTCGGGCAAGCCGTGCTACTTGGAATCCCGGCTGAGAGTTTAGGGTTTAGGGTTTAGGGCTTAGGGCTTAGGGCTTGAAATTCAAAATGATCGACACGAAGAAGATGAAGAATATGAGCAGGCAAACTATGTTGATAGTGCTAAGTATGAACAAGAGGAAGTATCGTGACAGCAAGAAAGGGGAGGGACTGGAAGACAAAGCAGAGTCAAAGTAGCGCTTCTCTAATCGTCAGAACAGTTTGAATCGTCATTCGCCATCAGAATCATCATCGCCATAGTCGTAGTAATCCTCATAATCATCATCGTCGTTATCATCTTGATCATAGGAAGAAGCAGGTTTGCGCTGTCAACCCTAAACCCTGAACCCTAAACCCTAGCCCCTACACCCCTACACCCCTAAACCCCTAAACCCTAAACCCTCGCATCGTCGGAGCCCCGTCCCCGACAATTAGTCTAATAGAAGTCGAAGCTCTCAAACCCTACAACTTAAACCTGAAGCCCAAGCCCCAATGCCCTAAACCTGAACCCTAAGTCCTGCACCCTAAACCTTAAACCCTAAACCCTAAACCGGCACCCTGAAGCGAGGAAAAGCCCATGGCACGCAGCCTCACCGAGTCTTTGCAAGTCGCCGAACCCTTCAAGCAGGTGAGCACACAGGGATTTGGGCTTAAACCCGGAGAGCCCTTTGCTTGGTAGCCCAGTGTTTGTTTTTTTTTTTTGGGTTCAAGGTTCCCTTATACAGTAACCACCCCCCCAAAACGGGTACCCTCATTATTGTTTGGTGCCTGGCTACCAAGTTTACACTCCTTAATGATGGGATGTACCTTCATTTGCCTGGACCGCCCCAAGTACCCCTTAATAAGGGCCAGAGTGTATCTTGTTGGAGGCTATTTAGGCTTAATATGATCTAAGGTGTATTCCTTGTTTAAGGGGTATTGGGCTCTTTAGATAGGTTTTCAGGACTCTGCCGCTTAAGGCCATTCTGTCAGGATGTTCTGTTGTACATGTCAACGCTTGCGCGCGCCGCCTTGGGCCGGGCCGGCCCACAGGAAAGGAGGAAAGAGGGCCTCAAAAAACAGGGGGGGGGTCCCAGGAGCGAAGGGAAAACAGCCCAATGGTTGGGTTAGGGGGTTAGGGGGAAAGATACCGGATCCATGTCTGCTTGTTCCAAACGCTTCTCGGCAGGAAGCCGAGGCGAACTATCCGGTATGCCCCAAAACCTTAAACCCCAGACAGAGTTCGCAAGAAGGCAGGGTCTCCGCTCTTCGTTGCTTACTACCGCCGGGCCTATCCGCGTTTCGCGCGACTGCGCGAGCTGTTGACATCCGGCCGGTTAGGGGTCATCACCGGGGTGCCCCTCTGGCCGCAGTTGCAGAATTTCAGGGGGTTTTGGGTTTGGGTCGAATCTCGCGGTTGACTTGTCATCTTGCCCAAGTGCTAGGCATGGAAACTTCGCGATGTCTAAGAGCCCTGACGCCGCTCTCTTTCTCTTGGTGTGTCTGACAGCATTCTCCACGCAGTCACAACCAGGGTTACAAGTAGTAGAGTCAGCAGAGGCTTACCATGGGTATCCTCGGCTGACATGGAGTCTTGACCCCACAAAAGCAAGGTGAACTGTGTCCAAGGCGCATGTGTAACAATGACAATCAAAGGCGCGAGCCCCCCAACCAAAGCCCCCAGACCTGAAAGCCCACACCTGAAACCGCAAGCCCCAAACCTGAACCTAAAAACTAATGCCCTAAACTTCTAAACTCTCAAATCCCGAAACCCACCCATAAACTCTAACCCCCCCCCCTTCAGTTCCAACAGCAGAACAAGGGCCAAGTGGGCCGAGGCACTACCGGCTGCAGAAGCCTGCTGTGAAGGAACAAGTTGGCTGCTGGGCCCTTTTGCCCCCTAAACCCTAAACCCTAAACCCTGAACCCTAAACCGTTGGAGAGTGCTTAAGGGCTTCAGTTGGGGGTTTAGGTTTCGGGCCCTTAAACCCTATATCACACAGACCAAGATCTCAACTGCAACTCCAACTTGATCCTGGGCGGTTGGGACTGATCCTCAAACCTCTAGGGTTTAGGGGTTCACAGGATTCATAGCGTTGCAGTTTGTAGAGTTTTGTGTGGTTGCGGGTTTATAATAGGGTTTACAGGTTTAGGGTTTACAGGTTTAGTGTTCACAGGGTTCGGGGTTGGTAGGGTTTATAGGTTTATAGGATTTACCGGACTTGTTTAAAAGGGTTTTGGGTTTAGGGTTTAGGATAAGGGTTCAACTTATACTGTAGTTGTTCGGTCTTATGGGCTTAGGGTGGCCCACGCTGACACAATGCTAGCAAAAGCCATAGGTGTGCTCATACTGTATTTCTGCTATTATACAATTATACAAACCATAAAGGATTTTAAGCAGGTGCCCCACACAAGAAGGAACTGCGACAGGAGGTTTTCTAGGCATACTTGTTGATAAAGGGCACTGGGGTCTGGGGTGGAGGGCTTTCTGGGCTGACCCGGAAGGCCTTACCCAAAGAGCCCAATGCTAAAATCATATTAAGGATCCCTTTATGATTTAAGGCTAAATTCCTTAATTAAGGGGTCTTGGGCCCTCTGGGTACGGGGCCAGAGCTATAATAATAATAGCTAATAAACATTAACAATTAATAGAAATAAGAGCAATAATAATAATTAATAGTAATAATAATAATAAGCTGCATCTAAGGCTGGCGTTTCGAGGTCTCTGCCTCAGGGGGTGGTCTCTTCGTGGACATCGGCTCGCACGTCCTCGATCTTCTGGACTTCTTGGTCGGACCGCTGCGGAACCTCGGGTTTGGGGTTTAGGGTTTAGGGTTTATAGGGTTCAGGGTATACTGGCTTTGGGGTCCTCATGGAAGTAATTTATAAGCCTCAAAGTCCCTCCACCAACCAAAATCCCTGCAAGCCCGAAACCCTGAAGCCGCACATCAACGTCTCCTAGGATGCTCCAAGGAATCTGCACGGGGTGGCCACCCGCGCCAGCGGAGCAAGCGCGACCGCACCGGAGGACGCAGAAACCCGCGTGCAGGGTTTAAGCCAGGTGCGGGGGCGCACCCTAAACCCTAAACCCTAATTCCTAAATCCTAGCCCTAAACCCGAAACCCTATAGGGCAGATCTCGCGAGGATGGCGTGGCGCTGAGTTTCGAGTGTGCCGAGCAAGCGCACTTCGGCTGAAGGCAGCTCTGCAAGCCTCAAGCCCCAAATTTATAGGGTTTAGGGTTTAGGGTTTAGGGTTTAGGGTTTAGGGGGGTCATATTAAGTACATTTCTGATTGGGTTGCTAAGTACCATGAACCTCCAAGTAGACCCCCCAAGCCGTAGCTCCTTTTTGGAGGGTAACAGAATTCCACGGCTGGTCAGATCTAGGTGCGCCAATCGAGGAATACGTACCCTTGGGGGGTCGGTTTAACGGTGTGAGGCCGCAGAAGGCTGAAGGTCCTTAAGGGTTTGGGGTTGGGGGTGGGGGGGCGGGGGGGTTTTGGCTTATGGTTGGGGAGTTGGAAGGCCCCATAAACCCCCTAAACCCTGAGCCCCAACCCTAAACCAAAATTCCCTAAACCCCTAAACTCTAACCCTATAAACCCTACACTCCCTAAACCCTAAACTCCCGAAGTCCCTAAACCCCCTAAGTCCCTAAAACATCCTAAACCCTAAACCCCTTAAGTCCCTTAAACCCTAAGCCCTAAGCCCTAAACCCTACACCCTAAACCCTAAACCCTAAACCCTAAACCCTCAACCCTAAACCCTAAACCCTAAACCCTAAACCCCAAGCCGAAGGATCGGCTCGGCGACCTGGAGCTTCAACGCGCCCGAGAGCTGCGATCTCCTTGAGATCCTCACGGCCACGGCCAAGGTTGTGGCGGGGGTCGTTTAGGGCGCATGAGGTTTGGAGTTCTGGGGGGGGGGGGGGGTTGGGGTTTAGGGTTTAGGGTTTAGGGTGTAGGGTTTTGGGTGTAGGGTTTAGGGTTTAGGGTTTAGGGTTTAGGGTGTAGGCATAGAGTTTAGGGCTGCCAAACTTCAGAACCCTTCAAAGAAGGAGAACTACAAAGGGAATCTGAGCTAAATGAACCCCCAAAGCACCTAAAGCCCCGAAACCCTCAACCCCTAAGCCCCTAAAGCCCCTGCGAGGGGGGGGGGGGGGGGGGGGGGGGGGGGGGGGGGGGGGGTACCCTGGCCTTAAACCCTAAACCCTAAACCCTAAACCCTAAACCCTAAACTCTAAACCCTCAAGGTTACCGTGCCAGAGCTCATGAATGGCAGCCGCATCTCGGTGGCCTACGCGGATGGCACGGCGGCGGAGACGTGGGACATCCCTCCGCCGGCACCGGCCGTGCAGGAGTGCCATGAGGTTGGCTTGAAAACCCCCTAAACCCTAAACCCTAAACCCTGAACCCTGAAGAGCCATTTATGCGCGACTTGCGGGTTTAGGGTTCAGGGTTCAGGGTTCAGGGCTGAGCGCCAGGCGCGCGCAAGCCAAGGGAAAGCATGGCAAAGGAACGGTCTTTGGATGTCTAGAGGAGTACCGTGCCAGAGCCCAAGGCCCCAAATTCCAAGCAATCCTGCGTTAAGCGGCGATCCTATAGATTGCACCGAAGTTCCGCGACTGCAAGCCACACAGACATCCCTGCGCTAGGTGCTCGATGTGCATACATGTACAAGTCAACAGTTCCGAAATTCTGATGGTTTCACCGTCCGAGTTTGGAGCTTTCTGCAAGGGGTTACAGCCAGACGTAGAGCAGAGAATGTGACAAGTGAAGCTGAATGCATACAGTGAGTTCTCCCTTTGTGGATTCCCTGCCCTAAATATTTGAAGCCGCCTTCTGCTACTAACCGCAAAAGAGACCATAAGTTAGACAAGTGACCATATGACCAAATACGTGAGTGGCCCATGTATGGGTGGAAGCGGCATCCAACAAACTGCTCTGCTCCATTGCTCCATGCTCCGTAGCTATCTCTACATATATATATATATATGTACATATACCTATATATATATATATATTTGTTTCTATTTATATTTATATTTACATGTATATTTATCTACATGTATTATATGTATAGGTTCATGTATCTACCTACCTATTTATTTATTTGATCATTTTTTATTCATTTACCAAATGAGCCCTCATGTCTTTTTTGTGCAGTTTTGTGCAGGAGCCCCTGGTTCAAAGTGTCACCGACGCCATCCTGGCAAAGAACCTTGGGGACCTAAGGAACCCCCCAAAAAATGGGGTTTAGGGTTTAGGGTTTTGGGTTTTGGGTTTTGGGTTCAAAATTTGGGGGCATTTCCCCGACTTGGAGGTTCATGGTACTTATTAACCACTTATAGCTGTACTTATAACCCACTTATAAGCCCCTTAAGTGCTCTAATCTAGTTTTAAGTACAGTTATAAGTACGTGCATTTATAACGTGTTAATAAGTACCAGGAACCTCCAAGTATACTACCATAATGTTCCCCCTTAGGGATCATAGAAAGGGCTACTATATCCCCATTAAGGACTGCTTAGTAGAAGGGGGAACATCCCAAAAAATACCGATTTAAGGCATATGCAGCATGAGCCCCTTTCCAGGGGCTCCTGTGGTCCCCACTGGGAGGTTCATGGGTGCTTATAACCCTAATCATGACGGCACTTATAAGCCCCCTAAGTCCCCTAAGTAGGTTATAAGCAGACTGATAACTGAGAACTGTGGTTAGAAGGTTTAGGGGCTATTTTCGGGTTTAGGGTTTAGGGTTTAGGGTAGAAGTACCCGTGAACCTCCAAGCAAGGAAGCCCGAGCTCTGCCCCAGCCGCTCGGACTCGGCCCTGCGCGCGGCGGGATACATCGACCAGGCCCTGGAGGGCTTCTACGGCGGCCGAGGAGACGCCCCAAGCCCTAAACCCTGAACCCTGAACCCTGAACCCTGAACCCTAAACCCTAAACCCTAAACCCTAAACCACGGCGGCCGAGGAGACGCCTTTTGGGAGAGGCCCGAGAGCTGGACGGTGAACAAGAGGCTCAAGGAGGCGTAAAAATCCTGAGCCCTAAAGCCCTACAGACCCTAGGGACCCTAATAACCTGAACTCTACCTACCCTGAGCTCTAAACTCTAGTCTGCAACAGGCCTGTGGATGTGTCGCAAGAGCCTCGTGGGTGGCGGCTGCGAAAAAAAAGGGGGGTTTCCGAAATGAGGGGTACTGTACCTTATGGGGGCCCTTATGACGCCGTCTGGAATTGAGGGTCTGTTTGGATACAGCGCTTAGATGAGTTGTTTGGCCCTATACGGCTCTTATAACGATAAAACTTGTAAAGCTACAAACATAGTAGCTGCACACCTGAATCTTTCCTTAGCATTGTGGCTTCCGGTAGCTCTGACCTTGTCTAGTATGCCTTCCGGGATTGTTACCCGATAGGTATACTACGAAAATTATCGGGTTTTAACTTTAGGCTTTTTCGGGCTTGTTGGGTGTTAAAGGGCTTATAGGGTTTATAGGCCTTTACATGGTTTATATGGCTATATCGTTCTGGGGGCGTGCAGGTTTAGGGTTGAGCTGGAACTTCAGCGGGATGTTTTCATGGGGTGGTCACTGTCCATTGGATTCCAATCACATTGGTATTTCATATAATATGTCATGTTTGTTTCAACTTGTCATGAGGTTGGTTGGTTTTGTTTCGTTTGATTTGCGGTCTAACTTTTGTGCATGGTACTTGACAGGTAAATTATATTACATTCAAGAGAAAGTTTCATGATTCACATATATGGTATGTAAAGAATCAGTCCTGAACAACCTTGTCATTGCTGTAAAGTACAGAACAGAGCAAAGACATTTGGCGTGTCATCAGAGATGCTAACAGTGCGGCCCAAAAAACAAGCAACATGTTTGTGTTTTGAAACTGTGGAGCATTTCGCATTTTGAATGCATAGGTCAAGCAGTGCCGAAGTGTCGATGTGACATGACTCAACATGCCAATGCCCTAAGGCCTGAATCCTGAATCGGACGTCCCACCCTGCACCCCAAACCCTAAACCCTAAACCCTAAACCCTAAACCCTAAACCCCAAACCCTGCAACCTCCAGTGGCGACGCACTTCCAGCGAGGCACTTCCACCGACCCCCGAGGGCGCCGGGTCAGAAGAAGAGAGGTGCCACGACCTGGGATTAGGGTTGGGGGGTTTTGTGATTTTGTTGAAGGTTTAGAGTTTAGGGTTTAGGGTTTAGGGTTTAGGGTTTAGGGTTTAGGGGTTAGGGGTCCTCTAATTGCTTCGAGTACTGGAACCCCCCCACTTAGAACCAAGGGGTTAAGCTTTCGATGTGGAAAAACCTCAGGGATCAAGGCTGACTGAGGCCACGGGGTTCCGATGTTAGCGAGCAAGATCTGCGTGGTCCAGAATTACAACAAAATGAGCTTTTACACCCTAAACCCTAAACCCTAAGCTCTAAACTCCTAACCCTAATTTGGTTTGAACTGCAGTAGTAGCTTGATTCCAGTTGAGGTCAAAGGCTTGGCATGACAGTTGAACCCGGGAAGCTTTAGGGGTTTTACGGTTTGGGTTTAGGGATTCAGGGTTTTAGGGTTTTAGAATTTCACAGATTTAGGGTTTAGGGTTTTAGGGTTTCAGGGTTTTTTGATGTTAGGGTGTAGGGTTTTAGGGTTTCAGGATTTTATGATTTTAGGGTTTTAGGGTTTCAGGGTTTTAGGGTTTTAGGGTTTCAGGGTTTCAGGGTTTCAGGGTTTCAGGGTTTCAGGGTTTGAGGGTTTTAGGGTTTTTGGGTTGAAGGTTCAGGTTCTGAATGTCCTTAAGTACACCTCGAGATCACACTGAACATTTACAGCCAAAGCTCATGGCGCTGCCAAGAAATCCTTGCTGTGAAGAGTCGAGCCCTCCCCCACCAAAATCGGAACTAAGAAGCTTCGAGCAAACACTAGGTGCGCCCCTGGGATATTTTGCATTTTCCCTTATTGGGTTTAAGAGGATCCCGTAAACCCTGAACCCTAAACCCTAAACCCTAAACCCTGAACCCTGAACCCTATCTCGAGAGGGTTTATAGGGCCATCCTAGAACAGGCCATGGCGGCGCTTTTGGTAGAAGCTGCTCGCCATTTCTTCTGCGCCCAGCAACCCGGTCCCCTTAACGTACTCCTACGATGCTCCTTATTTCTACCCGAGACATCTTTAAGAAGGGTCCCCCAAAACCTAAGGGTACAACCCTAAACCCTAAACCCTAAACCCTAAACCCTAAACCCTAAACCCTAAACCCTAAACCCTAGACTGGCAGGCCTTCCGTTCAGGAGCTGGTCCAGAAGTATGAGGCTCCAGTTCGGGTTCAGTTTGCACTTCGGGTTCAGTTTATGATTTGGGGTTTGGGGTCTTAAAAGTTTAGGGAGTTTGGGGGGCTTAGGCTTGGGATTTCTGGGGTTTAGCCCCTAGACCCCAAGCCCTCCCTAAAACCCACGGCTGTGGGAGCTTTTTTGGACCCAACCTTCGGGACCCAAAACCTTGCACTCCGCAACCTTGAAGGTTCAGGGATAGGGTTTAGGGTTTAGGGTTTTAGGGTTTTGGGGAGTTGGGGGCACGGGGCCGTTGAAGTTCGGCACTTGCAGCTGTAAATCCAGCGCCAGCAAGCAGACAAAACACCTCTAGACCCATAAACCCCAAGCCCTCAATCCCGAAGCCATAAAACTCTAAATCCCTAGGGTTTAGGGTTTAGGGTTTAGGGTTTAGGGTTTAGAGTTAGCCCCAAAAGGCTAAACCCTCAACCCTCGGCCCTGAACCCTAAACCTCTCTAGGCTAAGCCGGATGAGATCGAGGAGGAGGAAGCGGCCGCCCGGGCGCGCAGAATACAACAGGCACACCAGGGGTGGCCGTGGCGCCAAGCCTCGACTCGGTACAGTTGAGAGGGTTTAGGGTTTAGGGTTTAGGGTTTAGGGTTTAGGGTTTAGGGTTTAGGGAATCTCCTTGAACCCTAGACCCTAAACCCCAAACCCTAAACTCTTGAACTCTGCACCCTCGAGCCGAAGCCCTTTCAGTGACCCCCTAAATCGTCAGCCCTTAGTCTCCGGCTAAGGGCTTTTCGGGTTGAGGGTTTAGGGTTTAGGGTTTAGGGCTTTGCAGGTGTAGGGAAGCCAGACATTCCCGAAATGGAGGGCTTTCGAGCGGCTTAAGGGCCAAGGGTCGGCGGCCTTGCACCTGAAGACAAGGGCTTAGGGTTATTCGGGTTTAGGGTCTATGGGGTTGAGGGTTTAGGGTTTAGGGTTTACGGTTCAGGAACAATTCCAATAATCGAGGTGACTTCCCTTCCCAGGGATAAAAAATGGTAGGGTGCACGGCTTTCTGTCGAGTTTTTTTGTTGCGGCTGTAGTGCCAATGCAGGGTGTAGGGTTTGGTGGTGTACTTATAGGTTCATGGTACTTTTTGACCAATTAGAGCTGTACTTATAACCCACGTATAAGCCCCTTCAGTGCCCTAATATGGGTATAAGTACAGTTATAAGTACAGTTATAATTGGTTAATACGTACCACGAACCTCCAAGTAAGGGTTTCGGGTTTAGCGGCAGCGTGTTTGGGCTGCCAGGCACCGATGCCGACGTTGCTTCGCCGCAACGTCGAAGGCCGCAGCTCCCGGGTTTAGGATGCAGGTTTAGGGTTTAGGGCTTAGGGTTTAGGGTTTAGGTTTTAGGATTTAGGGTTTCGAACGGTTTTTCTAGGTACCTGATTGTCGCATACCCTAATCCTAGAATCAGGGCGCATCGCACTCGCTTGCCCGCATCTTCGTCTTCCAAGGTCTCCATACCACGTCATGTTACCAGTGCATCCAATGCCCAGAGCATCCCAACCCGAACCATGATTTCGTCCATGTTGCCAGTGCATCCGACCCTAAACCCTAAACCCTTTTTTCCGAACAAACACAGCATAGCCGTTAGCAGCAACTAACCTACAAAGAGACTGCCAACCCTAAACCCTGAACCCTGAACCCTAAGCCCTGAACCCTAAACCCCAAACCCTTGACCAGAGCACCCATGCCAACCGGGATTGCTTTCTGTGCCCAGCCGAGGAAGCTGCTTTTGGAGTCGGGCTCTTGTTGCCGGAAACAGAAGACTCAGGATGTTCCCCCTTATTGCTAACAGTCCTTAGTAGGGATTATCGTACCACCTAAACACTAAACCCTAAACCCCTAAACCCCTAAACCCCTAAACCTTAAGCCCTAAACCCTAAACCCCAAACCCCAAACCCTAAACCCTAAACCCTAAATAATTGGAGCTGTTAGTATAAGGCGGGGAGGCGGCATCCCAAGTTTGAAGACGCTTACATGTCGCTTTTCATTTGGAGTTTGGGCCGATGCTGGCCTCCACTTCCTGGGATCACTCTACCCATGAAGACTGCATGGTCCTAGGGTTTAGGGTTTAGGGTTTAGGGTTTAGGGTGTAGCATGGTCCGAGATTCCGGCCGCGCAGAAACATCGAGCCTTGCATGCATTTCAAACACACCCACCCGCCCACCCACCCGCCCACCCACCCACCCACCCACCCACACACCGGGGACACCCTATCCATGGTTCCCTAAACCCTAAACCCTAAACCCTAAACCCTAAACCCTAAACGCCCCTCGTTACAAGCTTGCTTGCCCACTCTTCAGCAAACGAAAAGTGCAGGCAGGCGAGCCCGGGCTGCCCCTAGGTTCCTGTAACTCTTTGCAACCTCTTTAGGGTTTAGGGTTTGGGGTTTAGGGTTTAGGGTTTAGGGTTTCCCCCACCCCCCACCACCGCCGAAGAAACCCTTAAAAGCCTCTAAGGGTACCTTCATGGGCATGTAGACGTTTGAGATGGAGTTGTGCTTGCTAGCAAACCCTAAACCCTAAACCCTAAACCCTAAACCCTAAACCCTAAACCCTAAACCCTAAACCCTAGTTCTTGCGCAGCCCGACATGGGCCCTTGACTTTTGGGGCCCTTGTATTTCTACAGCGACTTGGAAGCTCTTTTCGATTTCGTAAGTCTACTTAGTTTAGGGTTTAGGGTTTAGGGTCTTCTTATAATCC